GACTCCTCCAAGATCAGATTTTACGGCGTATTGCATCGCTCCTCACTCCTAATTGCCTAGGGAGCCATCTAAGCAAACTACGGTTCCATGGTACACCGTTATACGAATTGCTTACGTTTTTTATGCGACAGCATACAGAAAGTGCCAGCTCTTGAAACATCGTTCGTGATGAGGTTGCTCTCACGGACAAAATGATATGAGATACATTTGGCACTGCAGGTGCTCAAAAACCATGGAATTGTGACTTGATTAGATGGATGAATTAAAGGGTTTCGAATTCACGACGATTCTCTGTAACAAATTTCCAAGGAAAATTTACGCGTCTGCTTGCTAGGTCCTGAAAGCAAGATGACAAATAATCTAATAAATATGCGTCACGCTTCGGACGGCATAATTTGTTCCACCACCCGTCACGTTTTTAAAACGAAGGATCACGTTTTAAGCAGGCTACAGCCTAGCTGTATCATAGCACTGTTTGCTTTAAGAAGTACACTTGTTTTATCGAGATTCTCTTCAGGCATTGCTACTGCACCGCGTTTCTTCACTGTATGGTTGTAGATTAACTTCTGAAATCATTCATGCCTCATCGTCGTCGTCACGAATGAAATCACATTCTTCGTAGTGAATGGGATAAAATATGAGGTCGTCAGCCAAACAATAGCAGACTAGGAGTTGAGCTACCTGATGGTACCCGGTAGAGAAGCTGCATTAGCAATGAAGCTTGCAAAGACTTTGAACAACTTATGAATTTTTTACGAGAAACGTAGTAGTGGAGTGGTCAGGAAGAGAATAGCCTAACTTACTTCTTTTGCTGATAACGTTCTTTCCTTTGGTGTTAATAATTTTGAGGCTTAGGAGGATTGCTTACGTTTGCATCTGCATGGTTACTGTTTTCTTCTTCGTATTTTTAACTTGAACTAATCGTGAATTAAAATCTGTGGCTGTAAGTGAAAATAAAGAAAGATTGAATGCAACCAAAGGGGGTCGAAACTGCGACGGTCTCCACGTAAGTAAGAAATATTTTGACCCATCGATTACGTTAAATAAGCGTTCTCAAATGACGGCGGAAATTTGACAGTAGCCCTCAGATTCGCCTCTCATGACCGTTAATTTTCTGCTAAAATTACAGGCTCGTGCAGATGCAGCCTCACAACTAGAAATTCACACTTTGATACACCTCAAGGGGTGAAGAAGGCCTGTAGTGTAGATGCAATTAATCAGATACAGAGAAATGGAAATGTTGACATAAACGCCTTCATGTCTTCGTAACTTATTGGTATCAAAAAGTTTCTGAGGAAGGTGAAATGGGGCTTTGGTTGCTGCATATTTCCAGGGTGCTAATAGCTGACTACTTCAGCTGTTGTGGTCTCACTCACCCATGTCAGCTTACGCGAAACTCTCTTCTTAGATAAGTTGCTTCTTCAGCTAATAGGACGATACCGTAGATGACTCGAAGGGTGTTCTTCATGGGTAGCGGCACGAAGGACAACAGATAAATTTCATTTGACACAGACCTGACGTTGCGTGAGCAGGTATCGACCGTGATCGGGTAATGGATGAAATCTTATCACAGTTGCGGTGATTTAGACATGGCATCAGGGTGCCAGGTTAGAGACTCTCATGATTGAATCTTTTAGAAAATTACACGACAATCAGTCAAGTGTCAGGTGAATTGACGGCGTGTCGTCATGAGTATACTGAGCATCTTGCGTTGTCTTCCTTGGCGTTCGATCCGTGGAGGTTACCTGATTGACGGAGGATTAGGACAGCTGGAAAACTTTCTGAAGCGGATGGTCCTGCAAGCAGAAAGGAGTATTGTCCTGTAAAAATTAATGGATGGGTAGATTAAATATCGTTATGATAAGAATAGCTGTTTTCCAAGAAAATATGGTTATTCTTTTCTCAGACCTGTTTTTGTCGTTTTCAACTTCGCAACTGATTCTGTATCATCCTTGATTTTTCAGGTGTAAAACTGATTGTTTTGTCGTGCACTTTTTCTCTAAACGAACTGTGACTTTTCACTGTTTAGACGTGCGATGTAACCCAAGCTTGCTGACCATATTCACTAATTCGTCGAGTTCGACAACCCCGAATGATCAGCGCAGTTATGCAGGCCTGCAGGCACAGTCGGCAGTAGGAATGCTCATCTGGTTTCTGTGCATATTGTATGCAAGGTATACAAGAAAATTCGGATTAATAGTATGAACCTTCAGTTGTCATGATTATTAACTTACAGGTAAGGTGCTGTAAGAAATATAATCATATTTTCATTTTCTTCCATGAGTCACGAAGGATTGATAATGTGGCAGCTGTGATAGTCATTTTTTGGCAGGAATAATGGTCAGAGATTGGGCATTTTCTGTCGCTAGTTACTGTTGTCATCGTTGAAAACC